AGAATGGCCTCGGTCGAATCTTTCGTCGCCATTGAATATAGACTTGGAACAAAAGACCGAGACCGTCTATGATGAACTGTGCCAGTGGCTGGGTCGACCCTTGCTTCGGTCTCGTCGAGTGCCAATCCGAGCTCCGATCTCGTTTGCGTCAACCCATTTACAACTCGAGTGCGCGTCCTTGTAAATGTGGGGGAGCCGGGTCGACTCTCGTGCGAATGTATCGAATATGTTTCTGTGGTCTGCGATACAATGGAGTCTCTTCTCCTGTCATGCAGCGCAAAGTAGCTGGTCGATGACTCGGTGGCACGATGCACACTTGGGCTCGTCAAGGGTGTATGGCCGTGGCTCAGCGAAGCGTAAGTTCTTCTCGGTGTGACATCTTCACGATTTGCCGAAGGCGCTCTAGATCTAGGAGGCTGTACCGTTAGCGACGTAGGTGGTTTTCGCTGCTGCGGTGGAGTCTTTTGGAGGTCCTTTACTACTGCCGACGACTGGCTCGGGCTGAGCGTCTTCAGCGCTTTCTTGATAACGCCACCTTTGTCACTCTTAGCGGCTGGAGACGATTTGTCCTTTTTACCTTTAACAAGGGGGATTCGACTGGTGCCGCTTGTGATGGGCGAGGACTTGCTTGAACTAAGGACAGGCCGGCGGCTCTTTTTTTGATTGGCAATAGGCCCCAGAAGCTTTGGAGGAGAAGAAGTAGGTGGGGATGATGATTCGATTGCCGACTCATCGCGGTCAGAGTTGGAGATGGGGCCGTTTTCTATCTGGATTGGTTCATCCACGATTGAGATTCGTTTTGGGGCAGTCTTCATCATGAGCAGATCGTCGGTGTCAGGGTGATCCGGAGTCAATCCGTCATGGCCTGTCAGTCGCAGCTGCTCGGTCGAGGATGGCTTCTCTCTGCTGCTCGATCTCTTCAAAGCTGTCCGAAATATGACGGTTTGATGAGGTCCTCCTTGCGTGGCGTTGGACGAGCTTTCATGATTCAACCTTTCGGCGACCATAACAGTCCCCGGCGGAGGGTCAATATGAGCTGTCTCAGTATCGTAGATGTCGACTCTGATCGTTTTGGCGGTGATCGTCTCTGAGGTGATGATGGCTCGAGCTCCAGAGGGTATTTGGCTCATGATCCGTTCACGGATTTCTTCGTCGGTCAGCTTGGGTTGGTTGTCGGCTGACAACGTAACTGCTTGCGCATCAAACGCCGTGCCCCTTTCCAAGGCCTCAAAGTCATCGTCGCAGTCTGGAGAAGTGAATGTCATGGGCGGCCCGCCTGCATTGGCATGTATACTGATCAGGCCTTTCTTCCTTGTGCCAACGACATCCGCTCGGAAACCCTTGTCATCAATGACGGCGTCCCAAATTGTTTCTTCACCGCCGGCATCCCGGAAGTCCAGTTCGGTCTTGCGCCTTCCCCACCTCTGGAGCATCACGAATCCGATGGTGGCAATGATGAGATCCAGGTATGTGACCACCTCGCCACTCCCACCCACCTCGGGCTTGTTGAGTTCATCTCGGATCAGCGTGATGATGGCGGCGACGGCACGGGAAGATTCAGTAGAGCCGAGGATGGCATTGAGGGTAGCCAACCCTTGGATGGATAGACCGGATATGGAATTCATGAACGCTTCCGTGAGATGGAAGCCCGTCGAGGCGACAAACGAAGTTGTAGAGATGGTCGAATGCAGCGCAGAGATCTATGACAACCCGTTAGTTCAATGTCCTTCTATCCTTCCGCTTCGTCAGACGCACACTTCTCTCCAGCAGATTCTCGGTTTCCGCTCGTCCCAGTTCTCCATTGCTTCGCGAAGACACATCCCGCCCTGCTGCGATCAGGATAGACTCCAGTGCACTGCGACTGACAGCCAGCGTTTTGAGCGTAGCTTCCCTGCCAGCATAGAGTCCCCATCCTCCGACTTTTGTTGCACCACGAACGTAGAAGGAAGTGAGGCCGGTGACACCGCTCACGATGGCAGCGGCGGGCGCCGGCAGAAGCGTCCGTCCATGTTGCGGCTGCGCCAGGACAATTCCCTGGGGGGCATCGTCATCTGCGTCCCCAACAGATTTTTCGCTCTCGGAGGCAGATGCATTCTCTTTATTCGAGCTCCAAAGCATCGCGCAGGACAACCGGGGCGACAGGCTGAGAAGGCGGTGTGAAGGATGGAACGGCAGATGGCTTCACGTCGTGCTCCATGAAGGGTTGAGGGTAAAGTCAAACTCAGTCAGAAGGAGAAAGACGCGGCCAGGAGCAGGGAACCAGGCAGCATGGAAGGGGATGGGAGGCAAGGAGGATGCAGGTACGCGTTCGGGTTCCTGGCATTAAAGGCGGGCGTTTGCCAATGATGGAATGATGTGGTGGGCTCGGCGGGTGTGGATTGGGATGGTGGATGGTGGATGGTGAGATGGACAGCGACACCGAATTGTCCGCTATGACGTTCTTCGCACATGTGAAATTCTTGCTTCCTCTGCCAACGCATCATATCGAGGCTACAAGCTCCTCTCCAGCAAATCCTGACCACGTTCTTCCAGACCATCTATCTAGAGTTCAAGATAGAGCGACGGCCTATCTGAGATGGGATTCCGTTGGCAATGGCGTCGATACCCCTGTCAACAGACGGGCCATCTTTTCACATGCTTGCAAACAATAAGACGATGAAACACGACTGATTGCAGATACATAATGTCAATTTCATTCGCCCATCTACCGGGCGAGCTCCCGAGGAGCGAGGCCTTCCTAATGATGCTATCCAAACGAGCGCCATGCTTAAACTGCCATTCTGAATAATAATGACAATAAGAATATTTTTAAAAGTCACCCGAGGTCCATAATAACCACATCACCTCCATTGTCCAAGAGGGTTGCCTAAACACCAGGTATAAACTTCTCCGCCGGGATGGCGCCTTGCGCTTTGAGCTCCATGAAGTTCTTCATGGCTAAAGCGTAGTTCCAGTTGTTGGCCGCCAGGCACTCCTCCACCGCGGCCAGCCGCAGTTTCGTCTCGAAACTAAACTGTAGGCCCATCTTCTCGCGTTCAAGTATTTCCGCAGGCTTGTCTGCTTGGGGAACGCCGAATAAAGAGTCTGCCGGTATCTCGGGATGCTGTGGGCGGCCGGCCGGTACCGGTACCACCTGGGACGGTGCTTGAAAGGGCGGCTGCTGCACATTTGGGGTTGTCGACCGATTGCCGACGGGGAGGTTGTTGAACAATTTAAGCTTGGGATACCACTGCTGTAGTGTCGGTAATGTGTCTGGGAGTTCGTTGACGGGATTGCCCTGCAGGATCAAATGCTCCAGGTCTCGGAACTGGTTTTTCCAAAACTTCAACGAATCCATGTTCGCGAGTTTATTGTGCCCGAGGTCGAGATTTCGGAGGCGCGGAAAGGTTCTCGACAGAGACATGATCTGTTCGACAGATTCAAACCCGTTATTGCTCAGGGTAATGCTCTGGACCGACTCGTCACGTTTGCTGGGGGTCTCGAAAATTTTGGTTTTGCAGATGGTAAAGATGGCCTCGAAGACCTTGGCTGGATCTGAACCGACTATGCCAGGAATTTGTAGGAGTTCTTCGTCGGAACCGAGGGCGTTGAGACTTAGGAGTCTGAGGGAAGGGTCGTAGCGTCTGCGTAGGACGGAGATCATGGTATTTTCCACTTCGTTTGTAAGCGGATCATTTTTGTTGTCTTGCGCACCGAAGCGAGGATTTCGAGGTTGACTGTATTGAGCGGTTCCGCCTCCTCGAGGCCCGCTGGGCGGCTGTTGGTGACGACCATGTAGTGTTGTGCCATTCTGGCCAAAAGTGCCTCTAGATGGTTGAGATTGCTGAGATGAGGGTTGATGACTTTGAGACCGGTCATGTGGTTGATTTTGCTGAAATCGATTGGGTGGAGGTCTCGAGTCTTCGACAGTGAGAGTGCTGCCGGCCCACTGGAAATTGTTTAAATGGTAAAATCGATCTTTGTCGTTTTCATAGACGGTGATAATGAGGACATTGTTGGCGCGACCGACGACTTTGTTTGACAATATTTGGCGATCCCCAGATTTCTTGCGGAGAAATACCAGCAGCGAGGCGATGCCCTGGTCGGGTGTGGATGCTAGTTTTGAACTTGTCCATCCCTTGACGGCTAGGTCGCGCGTAGCTGCAGATTGAATGCCTTGTGACGAATCGCCGGTTCTGCCGAATGCCATTGTGACCGCCCTGACCCGAGAGGACTAAGTGGACGAGTGTTAAGAGATTGTATCTGTAGGAGATGCCTCAAATGGCGTAGATAGTCCGTGTCTTAACAATCGAACTCAAAGATTCAGTCTCGCAGCGTGACAAAGAGCTAAACGAGTGAGGGAGCTGATGGTGCGCGTGAGTAGAGTCCTTGCAGCAACTCCTCGAGGCTGTCTCGGCAAGGACAGCTCCTCAACGAATGTCTACAAGGCTGTGTATGCTCATGTAAATGGCTGCTTTGGGTGGGATGTGGCTTGTAGATCGGCAGGTGGCGGCTTATTTGACAAGGGTATTTCCAAGAGACGGGTTAAAATGGTGAATATCGGAAGAAACTGAAGAGTCCCAGTAAGATCGAGTGCGTGAAGGTGTCTCAATGACAAAGAAAATGTGAAGAGATAAATCGAGTAACAAATTGCAAGCAAGCGCTGGCAGCGTCGCTCGAGAGGAACAAGGAACTTTTTGTAGGGCAAAGACTCAAGCAAAAGGCCGCCAGATCCAGCAGCTCAGTCAGGCAGCATCACGTGAGGTTCCGCTAGCCTGTATTCGGAAAGGTCGGCAAACGCAGCTTGGCAGATGCCTTTTGTTGGCAGCTGCCCCCATTGGCCTCACAGCCTCATTATGCCCCTTTTCATAAAGGAGAAACAATGGATCGACTCGTCGAGCCATGTTCCATGCTAACAATGACCCATTCGCATTGATCACACAAATGGATATGCAGTTATGAACCCATTGAAACCCGTCAACTAACCTTTCCATCGACCTTGGTGCTTCGTAGCCGGTACCCTATCGACTGCTTGACCGATCTTCAGGAGGGGCAGGGCTCGTGGTTTTACTACTTCCAAATCGACCTATACCCCCGAATCCGCCCAGATCCCGTTTGAAGAACTTTCCTATGTTTTTCAAATTCTCATTCAACTTCGCCCCAGCCTCTGCACTGGAGAAAACTCCATCACCTGTAGCATGCGCGCCTGGCGGGGGACTTGCTGCTCCATCTCGCGGCGTTCCCAAACTTGGACTGCTGAATCGATCAATAATTGCATTTCCCAGTCCAGAGGCATCAAACTTCATGTTCGATGAGATGTTTGCTGTACTCAGCGAGGCTGCAGCCGAGTTTCCTAACGCAGATAGATTGTGGAGAGCAGCTGCCGACGTTACCGAAGTCCCGGTGGATGATGCGGACGCAGACAGATTCAACGGTGTGAGCAAGGGCGACTTCTCCACCAATGTATCCTTGTACCTTGGGCTGAACTTGTGCATTTGGAATAATTCAACCAGGTGATTTTGTTCTGACTTTCCGCGGATCCCTTTCAATTCGAGGATCTTGCGGAAGTTAACTTCTGACAGGTCCGCGATGTGGATCAGGTATGCTTGGACGAGCGCCTCCGGAGGCGACGGCCGGACTTGCAGAGTCTTCAGCAGCGGCTCAATCTTGCCAAAGGCAGCAGCGACGCGTTTGAGGAAGAGTGGCGGGGGAGTTCCTGGAAGTATCTGGCTCAGGGTGTTCTTGAGATCGAGAGTGTCGAGCAACATCTGCTCGGCTCCGCCCTCAGAGATTGGTTTGCACTGAGCAATATTGGCAATATACGTTGATGCAAACAGCTCAACGAGATTGTCCGCGAAGGCTCGCGCATACTGCTGTTTATGAAGCATACCTAAGATCTCATTGGAGCGGTTCCTGATCCGATTCTCCAACCCTTTGATATAGGGGCTTTGGTGTTCACCGATTTCAATCTTTGACCAGGATGTATTGCGCATCTCGCGCCAGCTGGGTTCCAGGTCGACCTCCACACGACGCACCAAGCCTCGGACTGCTGCGCTAGCTATCCCCATGAAGGCATCTGCTTGGCTTTGCAAGTCGACCTTGTCCTTCAGCACGTCATCTATGCGACTTTTGATCTTCTCTTCCAGAGAATTTGATGTATGGAAACAGTAATCCGCCGTGTTGAGAACTAAGATTACGTCTTCCACTGTTGGTATTCGAGAGGGTGTGCCGCCTGTTGGCTTCTCGGAAATATAGAACAGCAGGACCTGCTGAGCGTATTGGTCAAGATAGCGGCCAAATACCTTGGACAAATCGAGTAAAGGCTGTCCTGTGGAAAGCTTCGCACATTGCGCAAGGGAGTGTCGATAAAAGTTGAACAACTCGGTCGACGAAGTAATGACCTGTTGCGAGGAGAACTCCTCATCTGAAAGTTTGGTCGGTCGCTGCCTATATTGCGGTATCAAGCTCGCGAGTTCTTTATCCTGTGCTTCCACCCACAGACTCAGATACGGTTCGAAAGCGTCCGAGATGGGCTGGCCGAAAACTGGAGTGTCACTAGTCGATGCCATTGTATCGATTGATGTTCTTGACGTTTGATTGAATCTTCTTTCCAGGCCGTGCTCAAATTCCAGAGTTTCTTGCAAACATGATAATAACAGTTTGACATCGATCGTCTGTCCATTGCGGGTGGTTCGTGATAAGATGGTTTTATAGTCTTCCCGCGTTCCTTCGGCAAAGACGTTGGCGAGGATTTCGTTGACTCGCCAATGCGAAGGGAAGATCGCGGCATGTTCCTCGTCGTATATTTTCAGCGTCTTTTTAAACCATGCATACCTGCGATCAATGTTGTCCAGCGACCCTGCCTCTTGATCCCCCTTGAAGATATGCCGATACTGCCGCAGTTGCGTGTTGCAATACCAGGTGGTCAACCTTGACCTGGCGGAATCGCCGAGTGCATCGACCACCAGACACGCCTCATGGAGCAAGCCTCGTTTCTGGGCCACTTCTTCTTTGGTGAAGGTAATCTCAAAGTCTTCGCACACCTGTTCAAGCAACTCCCTTTGTATGCCTGCTACATTCCTGCTCAGCGTCGCGATCTGGTCGATCGACCGGTAGGATTTGAAATGCGCCATGAGCTGGATCACCGCTTGCAGGAGTTGCGCACATTCTCTGTATTGCCTCGTCTTGCTCATGGCTCGTAGCTGTTCATAGGCCGTCGTCAACATCTGAAGTCTCTTCAGTGCAGTCATCGACAGTGTGAGGTTCTTCTTTGTGTTGTCCAACTGCTTGATATCCGCCGTCATCTCGGTGATGTTGCGTTCCGTCTGCAATGCTCGCTCCCGTACGCTCTCGATGCGTTGGAAGAGTTCCGCCAGCTCGGCCTTTGAAGTTTCCATGCGCTGGAGGCATTCCGCATTCGACTGGATCCGCTCGTCTTCGAGAGCCTCAATCTCGTCGTCGAGGTCATCTTGATACGCTTGGAGGATTTCGAAGGTCTGGCTGACAGATGACAGCGTGGAAGGGTGTGAGAATATCTGATTGAGGTGATCTATAGGATCATAATCGTCTCCCGGCCGTCAGCACAAGCAAGGACCATCTGGCCACCGAAATTATGGTTACCTGAATCTAGCAAATCCACCTCTTGCTGAACGCCATTGACCGGCATATGGGCTGCGAGAACGGGGGCTGGAACTACGCAAGATGTTCGCCTGGCCGGCGATCTTGCGCATGCCTTGGATAAAATTAGGAAGTCGGGGCGAACAAGGCTATAGCCGAAAGACAGGCACTCGAAGTGCGAAGGTATAGAAACGGACGTCTATGTCGGAGGTCGTATGTGGAAATGCCACCATTTTGACGCCTCGACGCGTTGCTCGATTTAACCGAAGTTTTCCCGCCGTCTTTTGAAATGATGGTTTTTCTGTTGACCGACCGAGATATTGCTCTACCCTCAATGTTGCTCTCTCTTTCCGTGTTTGTGTACTCTAATATTTGAACACAGTTCTTCCATATATGTTCTAGAGAGTGCTATACTAACCACGTATTCGCTCAGGCCTTCACATACACTTCTCTACTGTGTCTAGTAGCCAAAAGAGGTGGAAGCACTAAAAGGACGGCCGGAAGAAGCTATCATCTCCTGAAACGGAACCATTATGTCGACGGCAGAGGGCGCCCGTTGGTCTCACAGCATGTTGTCGCCCCTTTCCCTCTGGATTTTCCAATGCTCCCTCAAGTGATCGCCTGCCCAACCTCCAGCCTCATCATCTCCCATATCAAAGTAACCTTCTGGCCAGATACCCCAAGCTACACCGCCGACGCTTGGGTCAGTGGCGGATCTAACCATGGCATCGACTACATGATCGATACTTGCCCACGTCATTCCGTGACCTGGCGTCACGCCCCTCGATGCCAATACTGGTAACGCAGACTGCACGAGAGGGGTGTTGATCCAGTAGGGTGCGAGCAGATTAACGCGGACATTTAGCGCAGCAGTTGTGTGCCGGAGCCCTCGGAAAAGACCTCGGACGGCAACTAATAGCCAGAGTTAGTTTGAAAATTCTCATGTGGTTCGAGGAATAAGCTGTGGCCCTAGAGCAGGTCATAGAGGGCTGCTGATGAGGAGAGTCTTGCAATCTCATGGACTAGCCGGGTAAGTGATGACCACCTGTTGATGCGGCAATCATCCCATCTCACACGTCCGTGCTTCCTCGTTGCAAAGAAGACGTATACTCACACTTTGATGCATTGTAATCCGAAGAGTTCGGCATGTCGGCATAAGCTGCCAAAGAAGCAGTCATGATTATTGACTTGTGCGGTGCACCTGTTGGGTCGACTTCCGAAGGCAGACGCATATAATGCAAGGCCAACCAGCAATTGTCATATACCCCCAAGAAATTCACAGCAGCCGCTTTTCGCGTTGGACGCGTTGGGACAACGTCGGGGTCCAATGAAGGCTCAGGTGCTGCAAAGACTTGATCTGTGAGGCTACCCCTGTCGCCTCCTATACCGGCGTTCAAGACAGCGACGTGCAGGGACTTGCTCGGGCCGAAAGAAGCAGCGTGTTTGAACGCAGCCACGCTTGATTCCCAATCGGTCGTGTCACAGTGGACGAAGGAGACATGGCAGCCTTGGGCGTTTAGATCGGCAGCAGCCTTGTTCCCAGCAGCATCTTGAACGTCTGCGATGGTCACGTAGGCCCCTCCTTCTGCAAATCGTGTGACGGCTGCAAGCCCTATGCCTGAAGCACCCCCTTGTTGCTTTCTGTCAGCCGTTTGATGATTCGAAACGCATGGATGCAGCAGTACCTGTGACAATGATCGACTGGTCTTTAAGCCTGGATGCATCTAAATGTCCATTCATGGTGGCGGGGTCTATGGGACGCAACTGCTCTTAACGTGGATTGCAATTCTAGTCGAGTTGGTAGAGTTGTCAACCTCAGTGAAGCGGGTTCTATATTCTTCTCCGCCAAAAGTCTCGGCTGTCAGCAAAAGCTGCTTTGCGTTCGCAAGGTATTACTCCGTACGAGTATGTCTGCCTGCTGCTTCGATAATAGGCAACCTGATGTTCGTATTTATAGAAATGGTTTAGCGCCCATGGAGTGAGATGTACCTCGCTTCCTTGAGTGCATTGGGGGGATCTTCCCTCCACTGCTCGCCGGTTGTTCGGCTGGACCTAGGCAACTTGAAGTGTTGGTCAAGCCTTGGGGCGGGGTCATCGGCCGAAACCGTACCACAAGGTATTGTCCTCCCTGCAATACTCAATACGCCATGTCGTTGCTCTACATAACGCACAGAGGCCGAGTCAGGATACGACCCTTGCCAGGACCTTCCGTGCAAGCTCCATATCGCTTCAGGTTTGTGGCCGGACCCTTTCTTGGATGCAGCGAGAAGACAAGGACCGGGGTGGACCGCTGCGGGCCTTGTCCCGCGATCCTAAGCGGCGAAATCGCTATGTTGAATATACATGCTATCCCAAGCGCCAGCCCTTCTTGTTGTTGACCAAGAGATGAGGGTCATCTTCTCGTCTCGAGCACACACCAGCCTAATCAGCGACGACTTTCCTACCACCATAGTATCCTTAGACAAGTCTTCCTTCCCTCCCGATGGGATCTGGCTAAAGCGCCGGCATAAATATTGACTAGCTTTCTCGAGATGGTTCTAGGAACTCCGTGCCGTAAGCTCGTTGATGGTGACCCACAGAGCTCAAAGGGCCTCTCTGCTCGGGATGACGGGGTTGACGTGTGTAGACACCACCTCTGCCGACAGAGACTACTGGCCTGAAATTTTTCTTAGGGGACGGCTGAAGCATGCTCTGATTTCCTCAACACCACCGCGGAGCGACATTCTCAAGCAGATACGGAAGCAAGAAGTGTAGTAATCACCATCAAGAAGTAAATGCCTCGTACCAAGGGCACACCGAACCAGTGGTGTTGACAAGAGCCGAAACAGGCTAGATCCTCTGGAGTGATGTGGCTCCTTTCCAGAACAGGCAAGGCGCAATTGTCCAGCAGCAAAAACTCAAAAAACTTTCGATAATTAAATAAATTCACTTCGTACTCGGTACACAGCAATGGTTGCACAGACTACGGACTATTACTTCATATCAACTCTTCCTGTCTCATCCTTGAGCAGACCCAGCCCTCCCGAATCTCTCGCGATGAAATGAACACGAAGGCTTCGGGACTGTGCTTGCTAACATAAATATTTCATCAGTACGTAGTACATCCCCCAGCCGTCGTCATCGATGAGGTACGTTCCTTAGGTTCTTTCGGCTCTACAAATGTCTTTTTCTCCCTTTCGTTCCTCCCAAATATGATGACCACAAGAAACCTTCACGGCATTAGGAAGAGCCGGAAAAGGACGGTGCAAGAAAACAACCCCCACCCCAGGCGCATCGTCAAATGTGGTCCTTTCGGGGATGGGGGTTCTTGCCAGCGTCGGTGCTTAGAACTGGGTTCTTCTGAAACACAAAATGGCAAAACGACGAAAGGGGAAGAAAAAGAACTGCACGGATCTGTCTAGCTCTGCTTTTTCTCCTGTCTTCCCGTTTGCCTTTGCCTTTGTCTTTGGTTGAGAATGTTCTGCCGAGTTGGATTCGCTGACGATATTGTAATCTTCGCGAGATCTAGGTTCATCTGACTGTACACGGAGGGACAGGCGTGAGAGGACTCGGTGGAGGACGAGGTTGGCCCCGAAACTGGCTACATATTCGGAGACGTCTTTTTGGTTCGAAGCTTCCAAATAAGGAAGCCCAATCATTCCCTGGCCCATATAATACACAGACCCACGGTCTACCATGACCGCCCAAGAATTGTACCCTACAAACGCCCGTGCTAGATGCCCAAAACGGAGCCCGTCATCTTTTCCCTCTCAAAGATCGTTCCATTCTTTCTATCTCAGCCCTGGTGAACCTTCTTCAACCTAGTGCTCCCCTCATACAAGCCCCTATCGATCGCTGCGGCCACCGTCAGCGTGCCCCCCACCACCGCACAAACACCCGTCAAAAAGTTGGCAAAGGTCTTCGGCCTTGCTTCACGATTAATCACCTTCATCGGAGAGATGTCGTAGCTGAAGAAGACGCCGGGAATTCCTCCATGCGCGTGGAGTCTTTCCTTGTGTCCCTCGGCAGCATCGTTTCCACCGCTCAGAGACCTCTTGTGTGATGTGACAGAGTACTGATGCGTCTCGATCGAGCCCTGGCTTCCGGCACCCTTGCCTTGCATGCCTAGCGGTATCAGGTCTGCGAGAGACGAGTGTTGTTTCATGCTCCGATCCTCATCCCATCCGAGCGGCAAATAACTCGTGCTCACCACCTTGATGAAATACATGAAGTTATATCCTGGCTCTTCCGTCTCCTGCTTCACTCCGTCTAACGGATTCGAATGGTGATGATCACTCCATTTCGCCGTCACTCCCATATCATCATCACTCAACTGCGGTCCAAATCTCAGCGAGTGGATCTCGTGTGTAAATGTGTGTCCGCCCTCCACAGGAGTGTCGAGGTAATTATTCAAGTCGTGCACGTGCATGTTTCCATTCGAAAAGCTGCGACCGGGCGCGATGTGGAAGTTCCCCACGACCTTGTTCACGCGAATGACACCTTCAATGCGGCACCCCTCCGAGCGTTGTGCATCAAGTCTTTCACCATATCCTTCGCGCTCACACTGTTCCACGCCTTCGCCCCGTCCGAACGCCCAGCTGTTGGATGCGTAGGCTTCGCGCACTTCATCACATGTGTTACAGCAGCCAGGTTTTGTTGCGTTGGCCGGTGCAGGAGCCGAGTAGCAGGAGCCGCAGTAATCGGGATCCAAGTGGACGGCATTATCTTGCTGATTGTGTAGGATTAGGGCGGTCGTGTCAATGATCTTGGAACCTTCGGCGACGGAAGAGAGTCGCACTTTGTTGACGCCATGGACGACGCCCGTCTGTTGCTCGCCGGACACGTCCATTACGTCGAGGGTGAGCAGTTCGCAAGGGATCCGGGGGAAGGAGATGTTGAGGTGAATCTCCATCTTCTCACCTGCAAATATAAAAATCTCGCATCAGCATGGGCCATACCATATCTCTTGACACTCCTCTAGAGGGCAGCTGCAATTCCAGACCACCAAATGATGTTGTGCTTACCTCGCCCTTTGTCCACAATCAACTCCGGCATGACTAGGATTTTTCT